CCCCAAGAGACCCTAAACCCTAAACCCGGGGCTTCAAGCTGCTCCGGTTCGGAGCTGAGGTCAGCTTGGGGCTCAGGGTTTGGGTGAGCTGAGATAAGAATCGAAATTCGCATTCCGGGGCACGGATAGATCTGCGAAGGAGGCTGAAAGAAGCTTGGGGTTTTGGGTCGAAGCCGTCAAAGAGGCCCCGGGCCTCTTGGTAAGGCTCTTCTGGCAGTTACTGTATGGGTCCGGTCTTTCCTTGCTGGAGTGTCGACTGTGTCTGTTGCTGCGGATGAAAGCTCGGAAGATGGTGAGAGACTGATGATGACGGTGCTATGTTCGTCGGGAACATAGTCTTCGAAATGATACTCGTGGTGGCGATCGTGGCACCGATGACAGTAATTTATTGCGATCAGGGTACTGATGGTGACTTGGCGAGGAGGAGGAGGAGGAGGAGGAGGAGGAGTGGAGGAAGAGCACGAGAACAAGGACCATGACATGGAGTACGACAGGGACGATCACCTCGACAACAGCCACAAAAGCCGCGACCACTGCCACCACGACCACTGTACGACGACTACAGGCTTCAAGCTCAAAGGCCCGCAACTGATGTTCTTCCCATCCTCGTTGCGAGCCGTATACACGAACGGTATGACCTGGAAGCGGAGAAACGATATCAAAAGTAACCAGAGCGGGCACTCATGCCTGCGCCCTCAAGCCGGATGGATTGTGGCAGATATTGATGATACTGGTCAAGCCTCAGTTCGCAGCACGACGCGGGAGATCCTAGTACTCCCAGAAGCGTACACGTCAAGGACCACTATTTCCTTGCTAGAATTATTCAAGATATCCCCCAAAACCATATTCTAATTATCAAGGCCCGCTATTATTTCCAGTGCACCTTTAGCCCAGGTGACCTCGTGGGCAGGACTTCGAAATCTGGCCCCGGTTCGGTGGAAAGCCCTGAATTTCGAGGTCCACAGCCCGAAACCCTACGTAACCAAATCCAGAGGCCTTCATCGCCTGAATAGGCTCTAGATTCTAGAACTGCATGATAGGGTTTTCTCTTTGGTGGCCTAGTGGTTTGAACAGGGCTTTGAGGGATAGTATTGCTAACTCTTCGGGCTTCTTTGTGCGCTCTAGAAGGGATCCTGGCAACATGTTGTATTCGCACTGCTTGAGAAGACCACTTGGCCCCGGGCCATTCATAAATCGCATAGCCATCACAGACCTGTGCAGCGCGTCGGAACAAAGAAGAATCCGGTGAGTTGAGGAAGTACCCGGATGTTGCCCGACCAGAAGCTGCTAAACTGCTGAAGTCGGCGTTTTCCACAATCAATCAGGCTGAAGCACGGATCCAGCCATAAGGTGTCCAGCTTGCAACTTCATGAAGAATACGTCCTGAACGCCAGTTCCTAGTCCAGTGTCTTCTTCAACGTCTGCTGTGTGGTGGCCACACAGGCGGTGGTATCTATCAATCAAGGCACCTCTGGTGAACAGGCCGGGAAACCCCAGATTTTTGCTCGGTTTGATGATGCCACCTAGACCCTAAACTTCCTAAACACTACACCTTCAACCCCTATATAAACCCTGAACCCCTAAACCCAAAACCCCTACACCTCAAAACCCTAAACCCCTAAACCCCTCAACCCGCAACCTCAAATCCCTAAACTCCAAAATCCTAAACCCCTCAACCCTAAACCCCTAAACCCCAAACCCCTAAAACCTAAACCCTAAACGGGCCTCGGCGTCTTAAAGAGCCCCTGAAGACTCGGAGCAGCATCAAACACGGCGGAGTAGATGGCTTCCCCTGTGCGGCTGAGGGTTTAGGGTTTAGGGTTCAGGATAGTGGCATTTGGGGTTTGGGAATGTCCGAGATGTAGGGTTTGGGGTTTAGGGTTCAGGGTTTAGGTCTGCGGGAGTCAACCATCATCACATCAGCGGTACCAGCATCGACTCCTGCAATGACATGGTTGCTCGGACATGCTGTGATGGCTATGAAGATCAACAGCCTCAACCTGAAGCTTTCGTTGAAGGGAAACAGGTGGTGCAGCCGAAGTTGCCCGCTGCGTCGCGGCTTGACTGAGATGCAATGAACTTGTTCCAAATCTGCAGGCAGGTCAGGTCTATTCTTCACGGTTCGGAGCTTCCCAATTCGGACGCTCAGGCCAAGGATGGAACATCTCTTGCTTGGCCAGTTCGGCCGGATTGTGGTAAAGCGACTCACTCCTAAATTATGTAGCAGTGCAGTGTGGTAGCGCCAAGACCAAAAAAATACAGGTCTCAGCACGAACAAAGACTGCGCTTCTCATGATGGTGATGCCGGTAGTGATGGCCATGGTGATGATGATGATGATGATGATGTGATGATGGTGATGGTGATGGTGATAGAGGATGATGGTGATGATGGTGATGAAGGTAATGATGCTCGAGGACTCAAGACATGGGACCTGAAAGGCCGCATGCACTTCAGCGATGTTCACGTTTCGGACCCTGCGGTGTAGGGCATGTCGAAATGAACATCACTCCTACTTGCAAGGGCATTTCTTCCAAGCTTGCTCTCCCAGCTCCTAAGGACAACCAATGCTTCACCGCGAACAGCCGCAAGCCCTTCAACAGAAAGGCTTCGGGATGTGTCGGGTCTTCACGTACGTATTGGGTCTTGGGGCGCCAGGCCTCTTTGCAGGCATCAGCCACATCCTCCTGGATGCGAATATCTTCGAGGACGAGCTCTTGCACGGTCTGCCAACGACGCGCGCTTGGACCGGGGCTGTGCTAGATGCTGCCATCCAGGCGCGCTAACTTGCAACACTTCTTTGCCAAAAGCTCTTACACCTGGCATGCTGTGTCTCCGGGCCCGCCAATGCAAAGCCTGCCTTTCAAGTCGAGCCTTGCATGACTTTAGATGCTGACCCCAGCTGGTGCAAACCATGATTCAACTCTCCTTCCGCACACAACTTACTTGGTGCCAATGATGACGCATGAGCCCACACTTTGCTGTGAGCTGGCTTGCAACCTACAAAAGCCAGTTTCCATCGCAAGGGCACGACAGTTCAGCAAGTCAAACATCTTCTGGTCTTCCATTGAGACGGCTTGGCTTCAAGCTTGCTCATGGACTGGGGCTTCTCTTGCGCAACCCGCAGAGAAATTCCGGCTCAAGGCCATCTGCCAGATCTGCATGAGAAGCTCGGTCGGGTCTGCTTGAAGGATCGTGGGACTTGGTCACTGGGGCTAGAACTAAGGTAGCTGTAGCTAAGAAATACTTATAACCTCAAATAAAGTACGTGTAACCTTACTAACTAAGTCCCATGATCCTCAAAGTATCTATCTTCCCTAAGATCTTGTGGATCAGGGTTTAGGCTTCAGGGATACGGTCGAGGGTCTTTGTTCAGGGCTTCGGATCTGGATTCCTGCGGCTCGAGACTCCTCAACTTTGCCTCGTACGAGCCTTCTGCGGAACGGAGGGGCATCAGACAGGCCTTTCGATACTTATTAAGGGTTTAGGGGTTTATGGGTTTCGGGTTTAGGGTTTAGGGCTTAGGGTTGAGGGGTTTAGGGTTTAGGGCTTAGGGTTGCTACTCACTCCACAGCATTTCCGAAGCTTAGGACAGACCTCCACAAACTCCGGGTGCAGTGCGCCTGATACTTTTCCAAGCCTCAGTGGCTCTGCTCATGCTTCGCAGACAGAGCCCCTGGCCCGCATATAGTATAAAAACACACTATACGGTATTATATGTGTATACATATATATATATATAGATAGATAGATAGATAGCTAGCTAGATAGATAGATAGATAGATAGATAGTTGTTTGTTCGTTAGATAGATAGATAGATAGATAGACAGACAGATAGATAGATAGATAGATATGTATATTTTTATAAGTATAAATATCATATCATACAGTATACTTTAGATAAACATGCACAGGCACATGCACACCGTGATCGTTGCGTTTGTCCAAAGAGGCTCGCGTAAGCCAGGGAGCACTCATCGAAGCACTCCTCTTCCTGCCAGTAGTCACTATCGGAAGGGGGGCCTTAATCATGGGAATAGGGTTCCTTTAAAGGGTCCCTTATAAGGCCTACTGTATGGGATACTACAGGGGTGTAGTAGAGGGGCCGAAACATTTGGAATAGGGTTTGGGGTTTTGGGTTTAGGGCTCCTTTGAAGGGTCCCTTATAAGGCCTACTGTATGGGATACTTTATGGGTGTAGTATAGGGGCCCTGATATTCGGAATAGGGTGTTGTGTTACTTCAGACTGTCATTACAACAACAAGGAACCCAAAAATAGTACTGGTAATCATTTAGGCCCAATTTAGGCCTCCATATTAGCGGCTCTGACAAACCAAAGCGTTTAGCTTTAGGGTTTACGAAACTACATGAAGTTTACGGCTACCAAATCTAGGCCAAACGCCTCTGCAATCCAGCCAATATCTTGTTGCTTCTGAGTCTGTTCCGACCTGAAGAGGTGCAGGGGAGAAGGGGTGGGGCTTCATCGATTTGTACCTGAAACCCCAACCGCTTCAACTCGAAATTCGAAATCTTGTCGAAACAAAGCCTCGACCATTTTAACAAGGACCCTTGAAACCCATCTAAAATCCTCAAAAACCCCTCAACCCCCAAAGCGATGCCACAAAGCAACCAGCATGGAAAGGGGCTCCGAAGCTTTCATCAAAGCAGCAAAGCACCGGCCTCCTGAGGGCCCGCGCCCTCACCAATAGGGCTGCGTCCCTCCGAGTCCTCTCAGGAATCGGGATGGGTTTAGGGTTTAGGGTGTAGGGTTTAGGGTTTAGGGGTTTAGGGGTTTAGGGTTTCAGGATTTCCAGTGCTAGGGCGACTGGGCTTCAGGAGTTCGGCAAGTTTCTGGCCACTCCGTTGCTTATCATGACGCTTGGGGGTAGGGCTTATAGGCTTTAGGGTTTAGGTTTTTTTTGGGGGGTTAGGGTTTAGGGTTTAGGGGCTTGAGCGTTGCCCTCTAAGCAGAAGCACTGCTCCTCGTCCTGATGCACAGAAACCTCTTCGACGACGTAGTCGGTTTCACCCTGGCGTTCTGAGGCTGCTGGCCCAAAGCTTCAATCAGGCTCAAAAGAAGCTTGATAGAACATGTTCGCTAACAATGACAAGAACCATCGAAATAATACGAATCATAACCATAATCATGACAATACTGGCAAGATTTCTAATAGCACTGGGCTGCCGACGAGCCCCAAACACACGAGTGGTGCAGAGACGACTCGCCTGAACCCGAAACCCCAGTATCCGCAATCCTCAGGCCTTTAACCCTCAACAAAGAAGCCTTCATCCTGTCGATTCGACGAGAGCTCTTCAGCCAATTGTCGTCATGAGTAGAATCTAAGGTTAGGGTTGCGGGATGCGTGGTATCTCCTTTGGCGCCCACGACTTTCAGCTGCCAGAATCACTGGCACTAGCTCTAGCCGCTGTAGTAGTCTTCGAAGTGTTTTACGGACCGGCTTGCTCATATGAGTAATACCCTGAACACTAGTGACTAGTGGTATCCCGATGTCAACTAGGCTGCCGTGTTGCTATCACATCAATGTTTCCAAATATATGGGCATTGACATCACTAATTGCATGCGTATGATGAGCATGACTGGTACGAGCGGACTTAGCATGCTGTGTCTGACTAGTACGAGTTGGCCGTGGCCGTACTCGCAGCACGGGCATCATCAGCGGCACTCTTCTTCCCAATGGCATAGATCGGAAGTCAAGTGCCAACCATACTACTGTTCCTACGCATGTTCTCAGTAGCCTTGGTACCACAATGTTAACCCTAAACCCTAAACCCCAAACCTTTAAACCCTAAGCCCTAAACCCTAAACCCTAGCTGCTGTCGATGGTCTGACTCGCGTTTCAGGAAGCCTCTCTCGGAAGAAACTCTGTTTCAACCCTCACGTGACCCAGTACGGTCACGCCCAAGCGCCTCTACTCAGAGCAACAAAACAAAATATAAAAGAAAGAGCTGGAAGGGCAAAATGGGCGATGCCCACCTCTTCCCTGAATCACTGAATCCTTTAAGCCCCCAACCCGACAAACCCTAAAACCCTGAAACTCCCGTACTCTGACCATCTCTGACCAGCAACCTCTCTCGATGAGGTATCGGACACCGAAGAGTCGTGGCTCGACATCTCTTGGATGAGGCCTCTGCTGCCTCGCGGCTTTGGGCTTCGTTCATGAACCCTAAAGCCCTCAAGCCCTGAAA